TCGCTCTCACAAGGAGGACCAGCCACGCCTGTAAAATAACACCTCACTTCTAGCCTCGCACATTTTCCTCAGTTGCTCTTTCATGAATGCTACTGATGGCTCTCTTCTTGAGGGGTGATATCTATCTCCAATCACCCATCCCCAGAATCCTTGCTGGTGAAGTGTTTAACTTAGACACCCAAGCCATCAAGCAGGCATCAGCAAACCACAATCCAGGCCAGATCCAACTCACTACCTGTTTTAGTACAGCACCCAAGCTAAGGATGGTTTTTACATTTTTAAATGGTTGGAAAGTGTCTAAACAAGAATAATATCTCATGATACATGAAAAGTGTATGAAATTGAAATTTTTGTGTCCATAAAGTTTTGTTGGAACACCCTGATGCCGATTCATTTACATATGGTCTATGGCTGCTTTCACGCTGCAGTGGCAGAGTTGAATATTACAACAGAAACCACATTGTCCATAAATCCTAAAATATTTACTATCCTTGACTGAAAAAATGTGCTGACTTCTGACTTGAATCCACCCAAGTTATATCTCTTCCCTCCCCCAACTTTCTTGGAAGGAACCATGTGGATTCCTATACTGTCTACTAGGCTCTTTTCCTATCTAGCCCCAGAATCCTTAGCTGAAGTATGAGTTATGTCCAGACAATTTAAATTTACGACTCCTCTCCCCTTTGTCCACAAAGCCCTTTGCCACTCTTCCTGTCTACACTGAACTTTTCCTATCTCTGAATCCACCTGTGGTACTACTAGCTAGTGTGACAATTTACTATGTTACAGTCTTTATGTTTTGTTGTGTTACTGCTATAAATTCCTTGAAGTAGTTTCTATGTGTTACTCAAAATAATACACATGGTTTGAGCTCTTAGTATGTGCAAGGCACTGTAAAGAAATTGAAGAAGCATAAGACATAAATCTCTGCTTTTGTGGATTTATAATCGGGGCAGGGAATAAATTGAATTTTATGATGCACACACACACGAAATATATATATACATACACACACACACACACACACACACACACACACACGCATAGGATGTGAGAGTTCAAAAGAGAGGAAAATATCATCCAATTGGGGCACAGAGAGTGGGAGGTAAACCAGGAACCAGCATGAGCCTTCAGGGGCCAACAGAGGGCAGTGAAGTCAATAGGAATGGTGAACGCCAAGGAGACAAAAATTACCCCTGGGTTAGCTCTCTCACCCCACCTAGTGAGTTGCCCTCTTTTCAGTAAGAGAGATGTTTCCTTGCCTTGCCATATGTATTGAACAGGACCAGGGACTAGAGCCAGGGCCAGTGATTGGCAGGTCCAAGGAGTGAGACCATGGCTGCAATATGAAGAAAAGCTAATATTCAGAATCATTCAAGATGGAACAGACGGCCTTAAGAGAATATGAGTACCTCCTACTAAGAAGGTTTAAATGTACACTAGATGCTCGTCATAAGAGAATGCAGGCTACGGTTGGGCTAGACCCTGTACTCAACAGGATGATTCACGGACCAGAAGCATCTACACGGCTTGGGGGTTAGATGCTATGCAGACTCTCAGCCCTAATCCAGAATTACTGGATTAGACTCTCCCAGACCCTAGTTATTAGAATTAACTAGTCCTCTAGGGGATTTGCAGACACATTAAGCTTTGAGAAGTGTGAACTAGACAATCTTCAAATTTCCTCCCAACCCTGAGAATCTTGCCTTCAAAATTAGGAGTGGGGACGCCTTAAGAGACTAGACATTAATAATGTTATTCTGGATAACATCTTTGCTGCTTCTTTTAAAGAGATTCCTAAAAATCACCCATGAGCTTTCAGATATTCAGTATCATGAGGCCTATACTGTTGTCAGGGGCATCAAGTTTAAGGGTCAAGGAGATTATACCACAGATAAGAGCTTCCAAATGATGTACCGTTACAGACATTTGAATTTTCATACGTGCTCAATTCCAACACACCATCAAGGTTAACACCACCAACCAGTGCTTTCTTGGTTCACATCAGATCCATATCACAGTCTCAGTCACAGCCAAGAGGGGCCCATGGCCTGTTTTGATCCGACTGCAGGAGAAAGACGACTCCCTGGGAGCCTCTGCAACCCTAACAATTGACATTGTGAGGCCCACTGCATGTCAAATACTCTCCGAGTGTAGTTCCCCACTTTCAACGCCAAAAGGAAAACGGAGGGCAAAGGACTTATGCAATCCCTTCCCAGTGTCCCCACCCCCGCCCATACTGTATTCTGCACACATGCTGAAACATTAGCACCGGCTGATTTGGAAGGAATATTGGAAATGAAGTGATAGCAGAGTAAATGTCAATGCATTCAGTGTGACACCGTGAGCACCAGATCTTAAACAGCTTCATCACTGTGGCATTTACTGTATCCTGAAATAATATTAATCCCACTGTGGTCCTTCTTGATGGAATCATCCGTGAATATGGTTTATGGGCCTGGCCAAAGTGATAATAGGTTAAAAGAACAGCCCATCCAGTGTTCCACTAAATTAAGGTCGCTTCATGGAATTTAATGAAACAAGGGCTGCATGGGGTTTTCAAAGGACGTTCTTGTAATTCATGTCTATTTAGGGCTCCTGATAACCAGAAACCTAATTTCTTAGAGTAAAATGGCTTTTTGTAAAGCCTGGTCATAGAGAAAAAGAAAAAACTTTAAAGAGCAATAATCAACTGTAATATTTTGTTGTTTCAAATCCAAAGTTTAAGCAAAAGAAAGTTGGGAGGGAGGCAATGAGACATTTTGAATAAAACAAAATATGACAATTCATCAGATTCATATGTCATTTTGCAGTTGAGGGCTGAAATAAGGATCTTGTCCTACCTGCTCCCATTAGCCACATACCCAGAGAAATAAAAAGATCTTGGGTTAGAGAAGGCCATGGCATGCTAGAAATGATGAGAATTGAAAGAACTGTTCAGACGTTGAGAATGGTAAAGGGAAAACAATAACAAATGTCCCTGCATGTCTATTTCCATTTCACCGGCCAAGGCCAAACAGGGCTCAAGGGTTTAAACCTTCTCTAAGAAAGCCGTAACCCCAGATTCATGCCCTTGGAAGTAGAGGAATATTCCATTGCCCCTGTCAAAGACTGAGCCAAAAGTATCAGACAATCGCAAATATTTATTTTGCAGCCAATATGGATAGTAGGACATTCCATCTATGTTTTAGTGTAGAGGTAAGTCCCAAAGGGATGCTTCAAGTTCTTTCTGGACTGTGCCTTTTTCTTATTCCCTATTACCAATGACTTCATATATTTTTGCTGGGGGGAGGTCACAAACTCAAACAGCAACAGAGGTCAGACAGGTAATTTACATAGGTAAAGTGGGCTAGGTGAAATAGACAATAGAGCCTGGTGTGTGTCCCTTTGATATGGAAAAGCCAACATTTGAGCTCCTGGTAATTGTTTCCATGCCAGAACCCTACATTTAGTATTGCTAGAGTTTCTGACTTTTCAAAACATTCCAGAAACTTCATCTTTATAGTCTAGCTATAGAAATATTCTAGCTTTAAAGGGGCACCATTTAAAATTTTGTTTTTAAATGTTACAGGACAACATGTATATGGGCTGTGGCTCTAACTCAGCTTATAAACTGAGAATCTGTGACTGTGTGTCAGCGCTACAGCTTAAGGAATATCATTTAGGCTTTGAAGCACTAGATTGGAAAAGAGAATGTAGTATTAAAAATAAACCCAGAAAGTATATATAATAAGCATGCAAAAAAACAATTGTTTGATTTTTATCACATTAAATAAAAAGAAGTCACTTCTTTTCTATCTCACCCACTTTCTCTCTGCACTGGGCCAATTCAGTCAATTTTCAGTTAAATTTGCTTTTTAGGCAAATCTTTGCAAGGCTCCTGAGGTCAGGGTTATTTTCTCTGACTTCAGGCAGGTGGGAGGGACTATATCCACCCACCACCTTCTGAGGGACTCTTGCCGTGAGTTTCCATGAATAAGTCCTCCTTCCCATCTCTATATGATGAATCACCAAAGTCTATTCTGAACTGCCCCTTTCACTAAAAATGTGTGAGGATGTCTCTCTCAGTAAATTTCAGTGATACCTCTCAAGACAAAACTGGGTTAATCACTCATAAAGGTGGCTGTCTTTTAAGGGCCCAATGTACTCTGACCCAGAAGATACATATGTAACATATTCAGCACAAGCCGCCCCGGCAGCCTCCCCAATCCCCAGCTCAGGCATGGCAGGACAGCCCAGTTTTTCAGCTTCTAAAAATGCTGACGTTGTAATCTGCCCACAGACAAGTGCCCAGGTGCCCTCTGGGAAGGTGTCCCCTAGCTGGAAACCAAGTAAGGGGCTGTACCAAGGGCACGCACTAACCCTTGCAGTGGGCAGGACAGAAGAAAATGGCAGAAATGGCAGCAGCCATGCAGGTCCTCTGGGTTGGAGCAGAGTGATGGTGCCAGCTGTCTGGATTTTCCAGGAGAGAGCACAAAGTGAAAGTGCAAACCAAGAGCCACCCTCACCGTACAAGGCCAGCCTCAAGTATGCCTTTACCCTGACACATTGTTTCTCCCCATCATCCCTCCATCTCCTCCTATGAGCTCATAGAAAGTTCAGTCTGTGCTCAGTGACACCTTGTCTTGCTTTACTATTTAACTCTTTCTGTGTCTATCCCTGAGCTGAATTATGAGCTTTTAAAAATTAGGGTATATTTGTGATATCTCTTTATATTCGACACAGAGCTAACACTGAGCCTTAAGTGTTGGTGGGGCTCAATTAATATTTATGGAAGGGAGATGGAGTGGGAGGTAGGGGTTAGCAGATGTAGACTATTATATATAGAATGGATAAAAAACAGGTCCTACTGTATAGCACAGGGAACTATATACAATACCCTGTGATAAACCATATTGGAAAATAATATAAAAAAAGAATGTATATATATGTATCAATGAATCACTTTGCTATACAGCAGAAACTAACACAACGTTGTAAATCAGCTATACTTCAGTTAAGAAAAAAAGAACGGCAGCAAGAAAAACAATTTATAGAAGGGAAGAGAGGAGTTGTCCACCAACACATAAAAGTCAAACTCAACCACTGAGAAGAATTCCACTGCATAAAGGACATAGTCAGAAGAGGAAAATCAGCCCACCACCCATCAATTAACAAAGAATTTATAAAATGTGGTTTTCAGGCTGACATCTCAAGCTCCTGGTCACAAGAACTTGGAGGGAAATGGTGATGTGATTTCTACTCAATCTTGTGGTACCATCTTAGTCAATTCTTAGAATATTTATTGGGTCCAATCATGCCAGCAACAAAAACCTATAGGAATATATCCCCTGAAGTATGCACAAATGACTGCTGCTTGATGAAAATATATTTATTATTTTATCCAACATTTATCCATTTGTTTCTAGTGAATCTAGAAGGAAGTCATTAATGATGTGACTTTTTTGACTTCCCAAAATAAAAAAAATGGAACCTGATTTGGCAAATATGAGAATATGTTTTCAGTGCAACCCAGGTCAGTAGGAATCAGCATGATCTCCAAAGACCAGTGCTGGTCAGCTCGGGTCCACCCTCCCCTCTGCTGGCTCAGACTCCCTGCCCCTTGCTCCAGGTCACTGTATTAACCTTTCCACAGGGCTCTCTCCACATATAATTGAGGTTAATATACCATCTGAACTAAGAAGAGCGGGTAAGGTTTGGGGCTTCAAAGTAGAGAAAGACAATTCATAGGAAGATGAGAAAAGCAAATATTTGGAAAACAAATGTTTGCCATGCAGATAAATCTTTCTGATATAAAACTTATCTCTGACAATAGTTCTCTTCCAGGTACAGGTCCATATCTAAATTCTTTTAGGCAGTTAAGGTGTTACCAGACCAAACATGGGTCTGCTGGCCCACTGCATAGCAAAGCCAATTTGTGTTGTGGTGAAGGAAAGTACAGTGTTTGTTTATTGCAGGGCCCAGCAAGGAGTATGGGTGGCTTGTGCTCAAAAGACCCAAACTCCCCAATGGCTTTCAGAAAAGGGCTTAATTTGAAAGGGAACATCTGGGGTGAGAGTTGCAAGGGGAATGACTTTCTTCTGATTGGTTGGTGGTGAGGTAACAGGGTGATATTTGGGGAATCTTATTCATCAACCTTCTGGTTTCAGCCAGTCTGGGGTCTACGTGCTTGTGCTCAGCATGAGGTCACCATCCTCCACCTGGGTGGGGTATCTTAGCTCCTGCAGAACAACTCAAAGATATGTGTCAGACTGTTATGTATTCAATATATTCCTTGAGGAGGAACTCTGTTTTATTGCTGAACTATTGTTTCTTGCCTGCTTTTCCTTCGTTTCTGCATGCCCTCACTTCTCTAATTAATAACTGCTTAAATCTCTCTTTGGAATTCAGGGAAGGCTTAGCAGACTAAAGGCTTTTTCTACAAACAAGAAACAGGGGGGCATGGAGGGGCTTTTGTAGTCAGTAGGCCCCGCAGGATCCTGCTCGGTTTCGAAGTGGGGAGGTAAGATGCTCTTCCTGAATCTGCTGGCCCCTGCCTTCAAGCTCAAAATAATCCACATGCCAAAGTAGCACATTCTGGGGTGGTATATTCTGCTCTACCCCCATGATCTATGTAAGCAAACCAAAACCTAAGCCTGCAAATGTCTCAAGGTAACGAAATCAAAACCTAAGGACAAGCAATCACAAACAGCCAACTGAGCTTCAAGCCATAGCCAATCAAAAGTTTCCTTTCTTTGTTTCTGTACCTTCTCTATATAACGCTTTCCCCAGCTCCTGATGGTGGAGCGCTTCTACCCATTTCCAATTTGATGCTGTCCAACCCAAATTGATTTTTGCTCAAACAAACTAAAAGTTTTAATATGCCTCAGTTTACGTTTTAACTGCAGGAACCTGACTGTGCTACATAGGCAAAGTTCATGATCAACCAAAAGCAAGTCACTTAGTGCTTCTTCTACACCAGGCGCTGTTATCTACTTCTTGGGGAAAACAAAGGTGAAGAGGGTTCTTGTCCTTTTATCACTTACAGTGACCTGGGAAGATAAGAGCCACACAACAGAGGACAATGCCAGTTGTGGTCAGTGTAAGGAGCAGCTGCCACTGCACAGACACCCTCTTCCCTCCTTCTGAATTTGGGAACAAGGTGGAGGGTGATCCTCTCTGGAACTGAAGCCATTAGGGACAGGGTCTGCCATCTGCAGAAGTAATCCACTTGGCTCTGTCTCATTTGGCTGTTATGGTTGCCTTTGAACCATAACCCCTTCCAGCTACTCCTCACCACACACACACACACACACACACACACACACACACACATCCTTTTTTCTGCCTCCTTCCACTTCTTTCCACTTGTTTTCCCATTTCTTCTCCTTGCTGAGCCTCTCTCCACACTTTCCTTTCCACTGTGCTTTTCTATAGAAACAGGCCTCTAATGCGACACCCTGGGGTCCTGCAGAAAGTGTGCATTGAGAGATGGGCAGAGGGTGGGAGGCATCAAGACTGAGTTCTTTAAATAACACTTAATGAACAATAAACACAATCCAGCCCAGCCAAACTGGTACTTAGCTCCTAAGTACCCAGTCAATGGCCCATCTGTCATATTGTTAAGACCTTTAGAAGCTGTTTAACAAAATGTTAAATGAGATGACATTCAGCAGGCAGCAAAATGCTTGACTGCCTAATGCAACCCCAAAGAGCCGGCCTGGTGGCAGTGTCTGATATAATGCTTTGTATTCCCCTCCCAAGAATCCAAGAGCAGGAGGTCTCCCTGCCTGTCACTTCCTATCTCAGTAAAGTGAGCCTGGGGTGGGAAGGACACGATTACCATTGCCAAGGAGGCCCCAGCTGGCTGATGAGATGCTTTTCTGAAGAAGCACGACAGAGAGAGGGCACCTGGAAATAAAGCCAGGGGAGAGAAAAAAAAAACAACAGTAATTCGTCAGCAGTTTCATTCTCTCCCCTTCCTTGTCTCCAGTGGACTCTACCTCTCTCTCTGTTGGCCTTGCGGGGAGAAGGCAGGGGTGATAATGAGAGTTGACTTTTTCTAAGAGCTGAAATATGAAGCCAATTACTAAGGGGAAGATTTCCAGCAAATTGGCTCCTGATAGCTCACATTTAACTGCATAGTCGGGAGGGGAGGGGAGGCTTTGGTCCAGGTAGCAAAGACAGAATCTGTTCAGCAGGAGGTGAATGACTTATTCAAGTTACCTTCAACCTTTCTATCCAGAGTTCAACCATGAAAGGCAATAACGAACACATCACAAATCTCACAAAAAAATTGTTTTAAGGGAAAGGGAGGAAAAGGTTAAAAAAAAAAAAAAGCCTTTTCCCCTTTGACTGATGCTGTAAGAGGCTTCTTTCTCTACAAAGAGGAGAAAGCCCCCAAAACCGTTGTAATGACAAAGTTCTTCACTGGAAAGTAAGCTTCCAAAGTCTTTTCATTTCCTTCTTCCTTTTCAACTTAGAATTCCCTGGCCTTTCTACCATTTTCAAATGCTTACTTCAAGGAAAGGACTAAATATCCAGCAAATTTAATCAGCCCTCAGAACTCTACAGGAAATAGAAATTGTACCATCACCTTGCTGGATAGAAAACTAAGATCTAGTCTTACTGAAATAAATCCCCCACCTATAAAGTCATCTTGCATAGCTCAACAATAAAAAGGCAAATAACCTAATAATCCAATTCAAAATGGGCAAAAGATTTGAACAGACATTTCTCCAAAGAAGATACATAAATGGCCAATAAGCACATAAAATGATGAAATGATGCTTGACATCGTTAGCCGTTAGGGAAATGCAAATCAAAACCACAGTGAAATACCCCTTTACATGCACTAGGATAGCGACAATCAAAAAGACAGATAATAGCAAGTGTTGGTGCAGATGTGGAGAAATTGGAACCCTTCCATTGATGATGGGAATGTAAAATGATACAACAGCTTTGGGCTATAGTTCCTCAAAATATTAAGCGTGGAGTTACCACATGACTCAGCAATTCCACTCATAGGTACATACTCAAAAACAATGAAGACATACATGTAAATGAAGATTTGCACACTAATGTTCAGGGCAGAATTATTCATAATAGCCAAAAAGGGGAAACAGCCCAAATTTCCATCAACTGATGGAAAATAAACAAAATGCGGAATAGTCATACAATGGGATATTATTCAGCCATAAAAACAAATGAAATATTGATATGTGCTACAGCACAGATGAACCTTGAAAACATTACGCTAGGTGAAAGAAGCCAGTCACAAAATATCACATACTGAATGATTCCATTTATATGAAATGTCTAGAATAGGCAAATCTATAGAGACAGAAAGTAGATTAGTGGCTGGTTAGGGCTGGAGTGGGGCTGGGAGACAGAGATGGTGGTTATGAGGAGTGATTGCTAATGGGTACAGTGTTACTTTTACGGGTGATAACAGTGTTCTTAAAGTAATTGTACTATTGTAAACATACTAAAAGCCAGTTGAGTTGTAAATTTTAAATGGGCAAATTCTATGGTATGTGAATTATATTGCAATAAAGCTGATAAAAAAGAAAAAAATAATCAAAACATTTTTTAATCCCTGCATTAGTTTGCTGGGCTACCATAACAAAGTACCACAAATTGGATGACTTAAACAACAGAAATTTATTGTCTCACAATTCTGGAGACCAGAAGTTCAAGTTCAAGGTGTCAGCAATTAGGTTCCTTCGAGGGCTGTGAGGAAAAATCTGTTCCATGCTTCTCTCCTAACTTCTGACAATTTGCTGGCAATATTTGGCAGCCCTTGGCTTGTAGAAGCATGGCTCCAATTTCTGCCTTATCTTCACATGTTGTTCTCCCTTTGTGATTGTCTTCAAATTTCCCCTTTTTATAAGGACATCAGTCATATTGGATTAGGTTTCACCCAAATGAGCTCATTTTAACTTAATTACCTCTGCAAAGACCCTATTTCAAATAAGGTGATAATTCTGGGGTACTGGGGGCCAAGACTTCAACGTATGACTTCGGGAGGGGCATAATTTCACCTGTAACAATCCCATTCAAAGGATTTAAAGTTGCCTGAGACATGGTCCCTACAAGCTCACAATGGATTGGGAGATTTTAAATCTAGCACCAGACCCTAGAATTTTCTCTCGCATGTCTCTCGATAGCCATTAGGCCTGGACTCTCTTAGGGCATTATCTATGAGACTGTGTATCAGTCAGGATAACCTCAGTTACTATATGGTAACGAAACTTCAAAATCTCAGTAGCTTATGACAATGAAGACCATGTGGATCAGTAGAGATTCTTCATAGTCTTTCAGTGACTCAGGATGATAAAGCTTCTACCATTTGCCACAAACTCGTAACATGTCTCATTATCTCTAAGCAAAGAAGGAAAGAGCATGAAGACTCACACAGTGTCTTAAACGCTTCACCATCTCACAGTTACTGAACCAAACTTGGGTTTGTTCATTCATCACACAACAAAGAGAATTTACTGCCATCGGGTTGTGGTGAAGGAAAGTGCAGAGTTTATTGCAGGCACCAAGCAAAGAGAATGGGCAGCTCATGCTCAAAAGACCTGAACTTCCTGATGGCTTTCAGAGAAGGGTTTTTAAAGGCAAGGTGAGGGAGAGAGTCTCCAGGCGCGTGATCAGCTCATGCACCATTCTCTGATTTGTTGATGGTGAGGTAACAGGATGGTGTCACAGGGGTTGACATCATCAATCCTCAGGCTCCAGCCAGTCTGGGGGCTACATGTGCATGGTCATCTTGCAGTTAACTTCTTCCATCTGGTGGGGGGTTTAGCATCTGCAAAACAACTCAGGAATGTGCATCAGAGGGACATTTATCTATGTCCCTCAGGGAGGAATTAAAGATTCTGTGGCTCTACTTAAAGATTATGGCTGATCTATTTAAATTGTCACCAGTTTTCCTGGCCTAACTGCTATTTTTTCTTACTACGTGTTCACATTCTTCCAATCATTAATTCTTGAGCCAGCTTTTTGTGGCTCAGGGGAGCCCTGATAGACTACAGTTTTCTACAAACAAGAAGCAGGCAGAGGATATGGGGTGGGGGCGGGGGGTCTGTCCCAGGAAGACCCCATAGGACCCTGCTCAGTTACATCACTTTCACTCAATGACCAAAGTGAGTCACATGGCCATGCCTAACCTCAAGGTTCTGGGGAAGTGCCATCCTCCAGTGCGCCTGGATGGAAAGAGCCAGAAATGTTGAGGAACAGCCCTGACTGATCTCTACCACAGACAGAATCTGAGGGCTCAGGATGGCTCTTTCTGCCAAAAAAGTGGTTTTATCCTGAACCAGTGTAAATCCCAGCTCAGACACACACTTATTCTTTTAATCATGATTTTCTTGCATTATTTAGAGGAAAAGGGATTGAACAAGACAAGCAACTCATCTCCCAGCTCTGCTAATTACCAAAAAGTCACTTCTCATGTATTCTCTCAGAAAACACTTACGAAGGGTCTTTTTTTAAAATTTATTTTTATGGTACGCGGGCCTCTCACTGTTGTGGCCTCTCCCGCTGCGGAGCACAGGTTCCGGACGCGCAGGCTCAGCGGCCATGGCTCACGGGCCCAGCCACTCTGCGGCATGTGGGATCTTCCCGGACCGGGGCACAAACCCGTGTCCCCTGCATTGGCAGGTGGACTCTCAGCCACTGCGCCACCAGGGAAGCCCTACGAAGGGTCTTTTAAGGCCAGGCATCATGATGTTACCTTGGGGATAAAAGGCTGAACAAACCATCTCAGTTTCCTTATCTGAAACAAATAGGGTATGAGTAGCTCAAAGAATACTCAAAGGTAAAAGTTTATATACCAACTTAACAAAAAAGTGGGGGAAGTGTCAGGGCTTCAGTGTGAAAGTATGCAAGGTTCTATTGGGGTTTTTTGATGTTAATGGAATGGGCAGTTGGTCTGTCTCCTTCCTGGACTTCAAAGTGAACTCCCTTGGAGGGGAGTTAATGGCAGCTCTATTTTCTGGAAGCTCTAATTTAGTTAGATAAGAAAAGTTTAGATGAGATTTCAAATGTTTTTCACTGTAAAATAATCTTTATGCCCAAACGGTGATTCCTTTACTACCAAGTCCCCACATGATGCCGGTGCCGCTGGTCCATGGACCACATTTTGAGTTGCAAGAGCCCAGAGACCATCTCAAAGTCACCTCCAGCTTTCTAACTCTGGGATTCTACATTGCTCTGAGGGAAGAAAATATATACTATCAAATATCCTGGACAGGCTATTCTTTATAAGAAATAGCATATCAGGATAAAGGCAGTCAGGGAGAACGTAGTCCTATCATCCCAATTACTCAACATCCAAAGACTCTGAGCTGCCTATACCCAGCAGGCAAGCCCTAATTGCCATAGGAACAGAGGACAGTCCAGCTCACCAGGCCACATCCTGCTGGGGAGACTATTACATCCCTGAATTCAGGACTCCTTCAACCTGTGATATACACCAAACCCCACCCCTACCCCAGCCCCACCCCTTGCCGAGCTGGGTTCCACAGCCTGGGCTAGTCCTATCCCACTGCTGCCAAGAGCATAATATCCTGTTGTTGATCTCAATAAGAAAAATCCATTTGAAATGGGATCCCTGGGTATAGGTACCAAATGGACTCTTTATTAAATACTTTCTGATACCTGAATTTCTGCCATTATACCTACAACTCTCCTTGTCAGTCAGGCAGTTGCCTGAAGCACAGCCAGATGGGAGACATTCAATAAACTGGCTAGCTCTTCCCCCATAATACTGAGATTTACGGTGTTAATTTAAAGCCCTCAGACATCTGTGACACCACACCACCTTGGCCAATTTTTTCTCAAGGAGCTGTATGGGTTTTCTAAAGAATTCACTGTTAGATCAATATTAGCTTTAAAGGAAAAGT